AGGCGGGCGCCGCACGCGTGTGTTGCGGTGTCGCCGGCATTGGCCGCTGGCAGGCGCGAACTGTGAAAGTAGGGCTTTCCCGCGGATTTGTTCAAAGTGACCAGAAGTACTTAAACGTTTGTCTCAAGCTACATTCTGTCTTCTGTATTAAACTGATAATGAAATTTTGAAAGAAATTATTGTAGTCTAAAAGCTCATTTTTTCAATTCAAGCGCCAATCGCATTTTTTCAGTACCACTCAGCATACTGTTCGCACCATACTTTTCTTGTTTATTTCCATCCTTGAAGAAATATATTTTATTCAAATGTGAACATTTTTCTTTTTCTTCATAAAGCTTTTCAACTTTGTTCCTAAAAAGTTTTACTGAGATTAATAATTCAGTGTCATTGTGGCATTAATCTACAATGAAAATAGTGTTGAGAAATGGATTTGTTACTGAAGTATATTCCTCTGGTAGGTGTGAAGTCACTGATATCATTCCCTCTGTTTAAATGATAAATCCATTTAGTGTGATTGTTATTATTGCCTGTTATTGCGTTCATGCCAAATATTAACATAGAATTTAATTTGTGAAAATTGAGATGATATTTTTTCGTTACAAAAGTGTTGTCTTGTGGCGTGTTGCCAGAACAAATGAAGCTAATGAAGATGGTGAATAAGTTAATTTCCTTCAGTTCGTAAGCGCCCCCATCTTTATATGTGTGTGTGTGTATGTATATACATATATATACATATATAATATATATATATATATAATATATATATATATACATATATATAATGTATATATAAATAACATCTTAAGTAAAATGTGCTCGTACAAATAATAATAATAATAATAATAATAATAATAATATAAATAATAATGCAGTCATTTTTTCTGATGTGGCCTTATGTCTGCTCTGACGCCTAACCACTTAAATAACTTTACATATGCATAATTACAATTGAGGCTAAGGGCCTTGCAGTCTTCCCTTTGAGATGCGAGAAAACTGGTAGGAAGAGAGGGTGCGTATCGGTGGGTTCTGTCTTCCACTGCGTGGGCCACTTGATGCCAGTACGCGCTCTGTGGCAGACTGATTCTTGTTCGGATCACGTACAACAGCCATACAGACGTACAGTGTTCTGCCTCAGTCGCGGCGAGTCAGTTGATGGGAGGCAACAAAATGCATCCAAACTGCGCATGTAGTTCCTTTGCGTCCCCGTGATCGCATTGCGTATGCTAAGATATTTTACTTCGTTCCTTTCGTTCTCTTGGATGTTAAAGATATTTTGTGAGGATTGTGACAACACATGGATTCCGTCAGCTGTGTTTTTCGCGGTGTAATATGGTAAAAAAATCGAAGGACTGTACATCAATATCCAGGGAAAATATTAGAACTTGTGGAAGAAATTGTTGACAACAATCAATTTTTTTATCACTTTCAAAATATTCTAGGGTAATGACTCCCGTAACATTAATTTTGTATATGTTAGCCCTGGTTCAGTGTTGTCACGGTTATTCCGTGTACAAATTGGTATACAATAAAATATTATTTGTGTAGAAAATCACTTGTATAGAATTCTTAATAAATCTACTTTCTTTAGGCAAACATTTTCAACTACAAATCAGTGTTAATGATAGTGGTAAACGATTTCATGGACGGTTGTGTGTAAAATTCTTTTGTTCTTCTAACCTTGAAGTAAGTAAAAAAATTACAAGTGTCGCAATTTGTAGAGTTCTTACGGATTGTATAAGGGATATACTACAAGGTTTCGTTGAAAGGAGTGTGAATTTTGTTTAAATCAGAGTAATCAATTAAATATAGCGGTACCCAGAGTAAGAAAATATTTTCTCTTCGTTGGACTCGATTGCGGATATCTGCACCACCAACAACGGGTTTGAAGTCTTCCTGTGGCAGAACTAATTGCTTGCGCAGCCAGACGAAAACTCGGCGAGTTGTTGGGTAACTCTGAGTCGAATAGAAAACAATGTTTCTACCTTCCGTGCGTTTTCTATCGCACGTTGAAAAAAATGTACTGGCTTTAGGACAAGAAATATTCAAATAAGATTTAAAAAAATAATTGCCTCATTACCTTTTTAAAAGCTCACTTATGTCAAATTCTAACATATTTAATTCCAAAAACTTGAAATGAATTTAAGAGGTGTTTATAAGCACAGATATATAATGAAAATAATTGAGAGCAAAGCCATGTATGTGGCCGTGTGGACTAGATAACTGAAATTACTAAAAATAGTGTATGATCACACCATTGCCACAACAGAACGCGAATTTGCAGGCGGAGTGACGAGGATCCCTCTTTAAAGATGACTCCAGTTTGCAAAAGTTGTAGTTTGTTTCTACCAGGAACACAATACATACGAAGTATGTAAGTACTTTATTTATAATTACTACTTTTGAAATTTTCAAATAAGGAAATTTGAAAACACGACTTTGTAAAAAGCGTTATTGGGAATTATTCAAGCTCTGACGTGCAAGTAAAATTGGTCTTCGTTTTGTCCGTCATCACTTTGTCCTGTGAAGATCTGGAGTTCTTCTTTGCATTCTTTTTATCGTATGGCATGAAATTTCGAGGGGATGGCACAACGACCATAGTTTCCATGCCAGAAACTGTACTTGGCAGGAGTTGGGTTTGTCCATTAAGGCACATATATTGAGATATAATGAAACTGAAGATGGAAAAGATCGTGGGAAGAGCCGTGGGGTAGCGGTGCAACCCAAGAGGAATGTGTGATGGAAAAAGCCGATTTGCAGCAGGTTCCCTCTGCTTCTTAATCCCAGACGCTCCCTGCGCTGGGGAAAATGGCCCTTTGGCCGCCAGGTGAGCAGGTCGCAGAGCGGAGTCCTCGCTGCGCGGCGAGTGGGTCGCGAGTGGGTCGCGAGTGGGGCGTGAGTGGGGCGTGAGTGGGGCGTGAGTGGGGCGTGAGTGGGGCGTGAGTGGGCGTGAGTGGGCGTTGCCATCCCACGCGGCGCGCGCCGGCTGCATCCCTGGGGCGGCGCACGGCCGCTTCACAACCTCTGACGAGCAGCGAGAGGCCGACGAAGCGCTGTGCGTTCTTCCAGATTCACACCTACATACGTGAATTAGGCAGTACTGATTCCGGGCTCGTCAACTAGTAGGTTTAGTGTTTTATATATTCCGGGAGGTGGCTGTGTTTCCGGCCCGTTGGAACGTGATGTCCGGCGTAGTCATGTCCATCGACTTCGCGTTTTTACCCAAATGTAAAAATAAATTAAGCTTGGATTTTAAGATTTTTTTATGAAATTCAAAATCATCCTAACGTGTGTCGTTGCGTTGTGCACGGTGCGCCTGATGTCACGCATGGTTCCATTCCCTCCCGCTTTCTGAACAGCCGGGCAAACTGTCGAGATGAACAGTACGGGGTCACGTGTCGAGGGCTCAAGTAATGCAAATATGGCTCGCAACCATATTAAAGTTGTGGCCCTTGAAGACCTGCAAGCTGGCATCCCCCGTTCTAGAACGAAGCTTTACATCTTGCCCCAGTCAATGAATGATCGCCAGTTTGCCAGCTTGCTGCTCTCGCCAAGGTCGAATCCCCCTCCAGCCCGTCGGCCACACCGCGCTGGCCCGCAGGGGTCAGCGGTCACTCGCCGGCACTGGAGGGCGCTTTGTCCCCCGGAGGCGCCGACGCAGATCGCCAGCGGAATTGGTCAGCGCGGGGCACAGCAACCCGAATCGGAGACCCGGCGTGGGGCTGCACGATCAAAGAAGCTTTGAGTGCAATGGGACGACGGGGGACACTGAGGCGGGGATGGTGAAGAGGAGAGGGGCCCTCTGTAGTTCGTTCTTGCCCTACGTTTTCGCAATTGTTTTCTTTACTTCCTTTCAAAATCACGTCATAGTCCCATGTGTTCTGCTTTCTCAAATCTACTGATGGTATTTGATTTCTGGTATTGTCTGTTTCTTGAATAATTTGATTTTGGGTTCCAATGTGATTTTCATTTGAAAAAAAATTGTTCTTTTAATTGTTTGGTTCAGTTCGCTCCATTTCAATTCGTTTCTTTCAAGGAACCTTTTTATTTATTTTTTGAATATGTTATGTGGAACATACAGCATTAATTTTCGTTTTTTACCCAGAATCAAACAATTGATCATAGGCATGAAGTATTACACTCATCAATTTCACATGAAGTACGCAAGAAATCATTGAGAGAACAATGTTTAAATTTCTCTCGCCAGTATATCAAAAAACAAGAATCGCTAACACAGAATAGGAAACACTGAAAGATTTGTTCTGTCAAACAGAAGTTAGTACTCTTGACATTTGATATCTG